AGTGTACTCTTTATCCATGTTACTACTGAAAATGATGAATATAGTGACGTCGTGGTAGACCGAGTATTGTTTTCGTAAAAATAGTACTTCCTTCGTTTCACAATGTACTTTCTAGATTCATTAACATTAATATAAATATGAAAAATACTAAAATGACTTATATTGTGAAACGAAGGGAGCACCGTTTTCGACCATTTACATTTTTTATTATACATAAATTTTGACTTTTCTAGTTTGTATTAACGATGTACTGAGATCGTCGTTAAATTGATAAATATAAAAGATTCTCAATAGATGGAGAACCATTTTTTAGAAATGATAAAGTTCCTGACCGTTTCCATCCCTTAATTCATCACATATGGCCTGACAGATTTATTAAATCTGTTTTTTCAGTACTTAATGTTTGTTGTATATTCATTCATGTAACCTGTTGAATGGATGGGAGTGAAGAACAAGCTGAGACTACCGGCATTTCAGTGTTCTTTTACTTATAAAAGTGATGGAAAATAACAAGTGGAGGGAGACGAGTCACTACCCGCTCCGAAGCCGTTGTCTGTCACTCAGTGGAAGGAGCGGCGTCCAAAGAACTTGTAATCATCATTAACCCTTTGTTAATTAATCATGGCTTACCTGACTTTGCCGTCCAAGTTACGTTTGTGCTGATTATTATCTTGCTTTGTTAGCACAAACCCCTAAGATAATCCCTCCATACTGCTTCCTACCAGGGCTTAAATCTACTCAGAAACACTCGATTAATCATTTCTTTTTGTTCTGTAAGCACGATAAAGTGTTGTGCTTTGCGCTGCAACTGTCAAGCTTTTCCAAAGCAGTTACCGTTCAAGCACAGGATTGTGTACAATTATTATTGCTTCCTACTGACCGGTCTCAGAATTCACTCATATCAGAATTCATCTGCCCTTTCAATCATTCTCCTTTGCACGTACCTGACAAAGCAAAACTTTGTTTCTTTTGTGCAAACACTTTTTTTTTGTGTAGCACATTCCTAGCTGATCAGGTATGGTCAGGTACTCAAAACGGAAATAAACTAGCATTACTTGGTTGGCTAGAAGAGGCATATCCCTGAGCAATCTGTACCGAATTTGCATTGCTTTGTGCCACATGCATCCTCTTCCGTGCATATGAAGTTTGAGATATGTTAATCTAGACACTGAAAGCAGTTTTCTTTGTCCATGAATGCATCCAATAGGTAGGCATGGAAAGTTATACAAACATGTACACAAGCACATGTACCAACCCAATATAATGTTCTATACCAAAATTCAGTACTATTACTATACTAGTATTAACTAACTACAGTGTCTTCCTTACTATAGTACTCCAGTTATAACTTAGATAGAGTAATAACAGAGCTCGAAAGATAACCTAATCAATCGGTCCACTCATGTAATTCGAACTTTCAATTCAAAGCATGAAAGCTAGCCGCTCTTTAAGCTGCAACCACAAAACGTATCGTGCCAATGGGATTTCACAGGTCACAGTTACTTGGCTCCATCCGAGAGACGCACCGGCCACTTCTTCCGAGTGATCACAAGCACTCGCATTAATAACTGCTCGTGATGTTGCGCACGAGTATGTAACTCGGGTTGTTGAGTTCATGAAATCGGACACGAGTAACTTGATGGAGGCAGCATGTGAAGGTGCAAAGAAAGTGAGGTAGTAACTCTTGCTTTTTTGCTCATGCACAGACAAATTCAGAACTTTTGGAGGAGGCATGTGAGGGAATGATCTCCGGTCCTTTTACGTCGATGACATCTCTGTACAAAACTGGCACGGTAGTTACGGCAAATCTGAATATGTCCAGTAATTAACTTGGGAGTACTACTAAGCTCGATCTGTAGTAACACGGCCTGTGAATATTCAGTCATCAAGTCCAGGATAGTACTAGCAGCAAGGAGTAATTAGTAGTAGAACATTTTCTTTAAGAATGTACTAGTACTACTAGTAGCTAGTTTAATGGGTATAACTAGTCACCCTGAATGTAATAGTTTTATGCACATTTCTTCGTCCAGAAGATTATCTCTAGAACATTTGAGTGCCAACAAGGATGTCCTTACTGAAAGAAGTCAAGAAGCGGAGCGCTTTAAACTAGTCTCTTTCTGCATCCGAAAGACTCTGAAAAAGCAAAGATGTCTCTTGCACTATAACGGGTAGTCTGATAGTGGGGTCATTAAACTAAACCAGTATAATCTCTCAAGAATATATGCTCAGACAGAAAAAAGGAAGAAAAAAAAAAGAAGGAAAGACGCGCCCTTTTTGGCTCTCCTGCCGCTGCCGCTTTCTCCCCGTCGATCCTTCCTTCGCCACGAGTACCATCTCTTCTTCTTCTTCTTCTTCTTCTTTGAGTCACTTTTCCATGGGCCCCACGGAGCATATCTAGACAGGAACCTTTTTGTATCGTTGTTGATATGATATGACACAACAGTTAGGCTGATGGAACTATGGAAGCCACATGGGTTGATCGGCCGATTTTTCACATTTTGATTCTTTTGAAAAACTTATTTCGCAAATAGACCCCTAAAAAAACTTATCCCAGAAATGGTCCTTTTTAGGGCGCCAGAGTGGCTGGCGCCGTCATCCAACGGGACGGCGCCAGCCTCTCTGTCGTCGTCCTCCTGCCACCATGGCGCACGCGAACCGACGTGGCAGGAGGAGGGCGCCAGCCATGCTGGCGCCGCCCCAGGGAGGAGGGCGCCAGCATGGCTGGCGCCGCCGCCTCCATTCCTGTTTTTCTGTATGGAGTTGCAACGGTGTTGTTTTTATTTTATTTTGTCGGATGTTTTTTCACACTCAGGATCACGATATAACCAACCACAAAAAAAATTTAAACTCGAACTATCACTTAGCTAAATCTGAAAATAGCTAGCATTCCACTTAGTCTACTTTGCACATTCACTAAAATTAGACCATAACTCCTTTAGTAAAACCCTTTGATCAGCATGTTAAACATAATGCACTCTACCACTATATGAAATTACTTAATCTAATTCAAAATATAACCACATGAAATGACATATATAAGTTAAACAGTACATAGAGATGCAATTTTTTTTATTTTTATTTCATTTTTTTGATACTTTTTTCACACTTAGGAGAACATAGAAACTAACTGTATAAAAAATAAACTCAAACGGACAAAATATATGACATGTAGAATTTTCCAAAACTCTATCGAAACGGACAAAATATGTCATCTATTAAAACAAGCGTAACTTTATCTTACGGACTCGGAATCAGGCAAATAATATATGCACGGACATCTACAGAAAAAGTTATATCTGATTCTCCCCAGCTTTGTCGGGTTCGGCGGCGATATTAAAACCTCCAAATTCCGCTTGCAAGATTGTGTTTTCGAGGAGAGAAGTTTTTCGGTGGAGCTTTGGAAAATTCCACATGCCACATATTTCGTCCGTTTGAGTTTATTTTTTACATGGTTGTTTCCTGTGAGTTTCTAAGTGTGAAAAAAGTATCAAAAAAATAAAATAAAAATAAAAAAGTTGCACATCTCTCTCCTCTGCACTAGTTGGGAGAGAGAGGAGAGGAGAGGAGAGGAAAAATTTTACAGGTCACATATTATGTCCATTTGAGTTCAATTTTTCTATGGTTGGTTCTTGTGTGTCCCTAAGCGTGAAAAAAATATCAAACAAATAAAACAAAAATTAAAAATTTCGGGGGGGGGGGGGCGCCAGCCACTCTGGCGTACTCCCCCTAGCCACCTCAGCATCGCCCCGCCACGTCGACAGGGGGACGGCACTAGAGAGGCTGGCGCCGTCCTGTTGGATGACGGCGCCAGCCACTCTGGCGCCCCAAAAAGGACAATTTTTGGGATAAGTTTTTCTAGGGGTCTATTTGCGAAATAAGTTTTTCAAAAGAACCAAAATGTGAAAAATCCAGGACAAGCTCGTGCCTGATTTCTACTATAATTCGGTGATCTTCTCCTTGTGTCCTCCTGATACCATTTCGGTATTCCCTCCGTTCCAAAATAAGTGTAGTTTTACACTATTCACGTTCAACGTTTGACCGTTCATCTTATTTGAAATTTTTTTATGATTAGTATTTTTATTGCTATTAGATGATAAAACATGAAAAATATTTTATGTGTGACTAAATATTTTTAAATTTTTCACAAAATTTTCAAATAAGATGGACGGCCAAACGTTGGACACGGATATCTACGGCTGCACTTATTTTGGGACGGAGATAGTACTTCCTAACGGACTGCATAATCAATAAGCAGCTGAATGCCACATTGCCACGGTTGTTTTTTTTTTTGAAAGAACACATTGCCACGGTTGTAGCACACAGCTAGAGATAGTGTGACCACGTTGGTCGTCTCCAGTGCAAAAGTACTCAGGCTGCCGAAAACAGTGACCAAGGTTTGATGAACGCGTAAAATGAAATAAATGATCCACTCTTAAGAAATGGACTTAATAAAAAAAGTTAGGACAAATGGTATAAAGAAGGAGTACAATAGTTATAAGAAACATAACTTTTAGAATGCGAAACAAATAATCTACTATAATAATTGATATTGTCTCGGATTATCTACTTAAATATAGGGATAAATTAAACATTTTAATTAAGAAATGATCTTAACAAATAGCTTTGGGTCTGTTATAAAGTGGGGTTGGTTTGGCTGCTTTCTCGATTAGACCGTGTGTTTAGTGTGAAATTTTTCTATATAAAAAATTAGTACTTTGAAAATAAAATTTTAATTTTTTTAATAATAAATGCTTAATTAATCGTATACTAATCACTTTTCTGTGCGGCTAAGAGAGAGAGATTGTACATGGTGTACTACATTCGCATTGATTCAAGCAGTTGCTTCACTTTCTCTGTTTCTCTCTGGAAAGGCAGACGGCGGCATCGGGCATGGCAAGACCGCAAGAGTGAGTGAGCCAGTGAGGTGAGCCTGGCTGCCTGGGAGAGTAGAGGAGGTAAGCTATAGCAGCAGTGCACGTCCTCCAGCTCGTTGCTAGTTGGCGCTTGGGTTTGGGGTTTCGTTTCGTGTCCCAAGGAGGAGGCCCATGCCGGGGCCGGGCCTAATATTCTCCCCTTGTCCCCATCATCGCTTGCAATCGCGACCGGTAGCAGCAGCCGCAGCCAGCAGCCGTAGTAGTAACACGCTCCATCTCTTCTTCCCCGGTGAGTCCAGCCGCGATCGAGCTCGTCTCGTCTCATCTCCTCTATATAAGCAGCCGCTTCTCTCCTCACTTAAAGCACCGAGCTTTAGCGTTGGCAAGGAGAGAGAGAGAAGAGAGAGAGAGAGAGAGAGAGAGAGTAATTAAGGCTGGGAGGATAGGCAGCAGCAGCAGCGAGAGGGAAACGAGCGAGCGAGCTTAGCTGGTGCTTGCCTATAGGTAGCTAAGCAAAATGGGGCAGAGGAGGAGGTCGGGGCCGCGGCGTCAGAGCCAGAGCGTGGTGGTGGTGGTGGTCGCCGTGTTGCTGGCGACGGCGTCCTGCGCGGCGGCGCAGCTGAGCCAGAGCTACTACGCGTCGACGTGCCCCAACGTGGAGACGCTCGTCCGCGGCGCCGTCACGCAGAAGCTCAAGGAGACCTTCAACGCCGCGCCTGGGACGCTCCGCCTCTTCTTCCACGACTGCTTCGTCAGGGTACAGTAGTGACAGACCAGCCCGAGAACTTGATGCCATCGACTCCGTGTTCTTCGTGTTGCTGATCGTGCCGTGTCGTGCTCGTGCGTGTGCAGGGGTGCGACGCGTCGGTGCTGATCGCGGGGCCGGACGACGAGCACAGCGCGGGCGCGGACACGACGCTGTCGCCGGACGCGCTGGACCTCATCACCCGCGCCAAGGCCGCCGTCGACGCCGACGCCCAGTGCGCCAACAAGGTCTCCTGCGCCGACATCCTCGCCCTCGCCGCCCGCGACGTCGTCTCCCAGGTAAACACACCCACACCATCCCCTCTCTCTCTCTCTCTCGGCGTGCGCGCGCGTGCCGCTTCGAGTGCGCTCGCTTGAGAGAAAACTTCGCTTTCGCCCGTAGTTTTTGCCGTTTTTTCACCGTGCGCGCGCGACAGCGATGATGAGGGTGACATGCCATGCCGCCCCGCACGGCGCCGCAGCGTGTTCCCGGCTCGGCACGAGTCCACGCTCTTAGCTGTGCGGCAATTATGCGCCTCTCGCTGTGCGCTTCGTTATATCGATCGGTCCGGTGCTTTGCTACACTAAACAGAAGCCCAAAATACTCCACAGAAGCAAGCCAAGCAGAGAATTCATTCACCTAACCGAATGGAATCGGAAAAATTGGGATTTGGCGCTAAAATTCGCGAGGCCGAGGGAGGTGGTCCCCCCTAGCATGTCCGAATTCAGCTGTCCTATTAATTCAGAGCAGGGTGTCCATGTAACCACCACTGCATAGTGGTCGTCGTCTCGTCAGCGAGAGTTACTGCGATGTCGTTGCTTTGGTCTTTCTTCTTCTCCGATTGGATCCATCAATTCTTTTTTCTCCAGCGTGAAAAACAAGTATAGGCCGAATTTAGTTCCAAAGTTTTTTTTTAAACTTCCAACTTTTCCATCCCATTAAAACTTTTCTACACACAAACTTCCAACTTTTTCATCACTTTATTTCAATTTCAATCAAACCTCTAATTTTAGCGTCAACTAAACACACCGTTCAAATCTACTACTACTCCTACGCGGTATGGGTTGGGGCGCTTAAATGAGCCGCGCGCGTACGTACGGTACGGCGATACAGAAGCAGAGACGCCGGCGTCCAACACGTACCTACCAAACCAGCCACGCTCTCGACAGTCGACAGGCAGGCTGTGGACTCGTAGAGCTACGGAAATCTGCCAATTATTATTAGGCCATGCCGAAAATTCTGCTCGCACACACACACACACTCGTGAGTAGTTGCAGTTGATGGCAAGAACGGCGTGCTGTAGTAGCAGTAAAATTGCTTGGATTTCACTGCAAGGCAAAGGCAAAAGTTGTATGATGTGTCATGTGTGGTGGTAATCACAGTGGTGGTGGTTGTCGTTGATGCAGGCAGGAGGACCCTACTACCAGGTGGAGCTGGGGCGGCTTGACGGCAAGGTCGGGACGCGCGCCGTGGTGAAGCACAGCCTCCCCGGCGCCGCCTTCGACCTCGACCAGCTCAACAAGCTCTTCGCCACCAACGGCCTCACCCAGACCGACATGATCGCCCTCTCAGGTATCAAAAACATGACAAATTTTACAGTACCAAAATTTTGTATTCTGAGTGCCAAATTCTACACTAGAAAATATAACAATCTAAAACCGGATGTGACACTTTATAGTACAACGAATCTGGACAGAAAACATATCTAGATTCGTTATACTATGAAGTGTCTCGTTCGGTACTAGATTGCTATATTATAGGACGGAGAGAGTATCTTCTTAAGAATTATAAAATCACTCTAAATCGCTATAAAATTGGGAATTCTCGGTGTTAAATGTTACAATAGAATAGAATATATGGTATCTTGGAGTATCTTGAGCTATATCTTCTTAAAAATTGTAAAATCACTCTAAAAACGTACTAACACAAATTCCTTTTTATAAAATCAAATTCTAAAACTAATTTATAAAATTCAAATGAACTTTTGGGTGAATCTGTTTTCATCGTCTGCTTGTTAGCTTATCAGTCGTAACGAATGTGGTGCAGGAGGGCACACGATAGGGGTGACGCACTGCGACAAGTTCGTGCGGCGGCTGTACCAGTTCAAGGGGGCGGCGCCGCAGTACAGCCCGCCGATGAACCTGGCGTTCCTGCGGCAGATGAGGCAGACGTGCCCGCTCAGCTACAGCCCGACCACCGTCGCCATGCTCGACGCCGTCTCGCCCAACAAGTTCGACAATGGCTACTTCCAGACGCTGCAGCAGCTCAAGGGCCTCCTCGCCTCCGACCAGGTGCTCTTCGCCGACCGCCGCTCGCGCGCCACCGTCAACTACTTCGCCGCCAACCAGACCGCCTTCTTCGACGCCTTCGTCGCCGCCATCACCAAGCTCGGCCGCGTCGGCGTCAAGACGGCCGCCGGCTCCGACGCCGAGATCCGGCGAGTCTGCACCAAGGTCAACTAATAACGTAGAGCAGTATAGCTCACATTTGGGTGGTAGAGAGGGTAAATTGGTGAATTCTTCTCTGTGTCTCTCTTCTTCTTCTTCCTCTTCTTCTCCATGATGATCTTCGATTCTCACTGTCCATGTTCACAAGTCCACCGCGCACAGTTGTTGTATTTGTTCCCGCCAATTCTTTTCTTGATTCTTATAATCATAAAAAGTGTCATACATTAATTAGGATATATTTTCAGGGCCCCTACCCATGTGATATGATAGAAGGTACACTTACAATGATGTAAACTAGCGTGGTGGCCCACGCAGATTGCGCGGCTAACATTATTATATTTTCTCTCATATAATAGCATATATGTTTTCTCATTATATTATTTAAATATATTAAAATAACAATATAATTTTAAATTTTGTAATAACTTTACAAAACTATTAATGTGTAATATTCATATTATATTTTATATACGTGTTAGTTATTAATTATTTTTAATATCAAATTTTAGTTATTTGTAAATTATATATATTCCTATATGAACTCTAGACTCGTCTTTTAATATTTCTTTTTTTTTAATTTTGAATTTTCTGTAAATTGTATTTCTATATAGACTCTATGCTCTTCTTCTAATATTATTTATTTTTATTTCTGAATTTTTATTATTTATAATTGTATTTCTATGTGCACTCTAAACTCATCTTTCAATATTCTTTAATTTTTAATTTCGAATTTCAGTTACTTCTAAATTGTATTCATATATTGACCTTAAACTCTTCTTCCCATGTTTTTCTTAATTTCGAATTTTAGTTATTTGTAAATTGTATTTTTATATGGACTCTAAACTCTACTTTTAATTTTATTATGTTTATTCCAAATTTTAGTTAGTTTTAAATTCCTATATAGATTCTATACTCTACTTCTAATATTCCTTATTTTTTAATTCCGAATTTCTATTTTTTTTTAAATTGTATTTCTATACGGACTCTAGCCTCCTCTTCTAATATTTCTTATTTTTTAATTCCGAATTTCAATTATTTCTTAATCGTATTTCTATACGGACTCTAGTATCCTCTTTTAATATTCCTTTTTTTTTAATTCCGAATTTCAGTTATTTCCTAATTGTATTTCTATATGGACTCTAGTCTCCTCTTCTAATATTCTTTATTTTTTAATTCTGAATTTCAGCTATTTCTAAATTGTATTTCTATATGGACTCTGTTTTTTCTTTTTCTCCGATTAATGTGAGAATTTCTATGCCATGAGAGCGAACGTGGAGGCTTCTTTTTCTATTCCTTTAATAATATAATAGATGTTTACAGCTGGTCCAGTTAATCAAGTATATCCCATACATATGCCATTCCTTTTTGAAATTTGCAAGTCAGTCACAAAAAAAGGAAGATGGGGTTGAATTTTGTACTACATACATTGAACTCTCATCACATTGGCTACAGGCTGATGAGTGATGACAGAGGATTCAGTATGCATGCATGGTCCAGGTTCTCTCATAAATTCAGCCAGCATGTGAGCTGTGAATGCCCTCCAGAAACCATGTGACATTTTCAGACATGCATAACCAGGCAAACCTAAAATGTTAGAAGAAACTAAAATCTGTAATGAAGCCTACCATTTTTTACCATTACACGACGAGCACACACACCATGCATCATGCCTAGCCCAATTCATACAGGAGATTTTCTTATATTTTTATTTGAATAAATTTCATGAAACTACATACTACAAATAAACTATTGCAAAACTATATATTTAAGATAGTAGATCATAAAACTATAAATTTAACATAAAATGCATCACAAAACTATATATTTAATATGGAGTATCACAAAACAACAAATTTTATAATCAAGTTATCATACAACTACAAATTTACCGCAAATGTAATCACATAACTACAATGTTATGAATTCGAGCATGATAATAGTGCTAAGGATTTAAACTCTAAAATAGTTTTGTGATAATTTAATTTTTAAATCCTTAGTTTTGCGATACTCTACCTTAAATTTTAGAATGATTTTGGTGTAAAAACTATAATTTAAGATACACTATCGTCTTAAATATGTAGTTTTGTGATAGTTTGATCAAGCTATCTATATCTATAGTACTCATTTTATTTTTCTGGGTGCATGTATGGGGTGTTAATCAGCGGCCCTCTTTACTGTTATCTGCATTCTGCAAAAACAATTGAAAAGGAGTGCATAATCTCATAAACCCATGCGCAAGAAATTGGTGACTGGGATGTGACTGTATGACACTACAAAAGCAAGTTCGCCATAAACCACTGCTTTTGTAGGTCAAGTACTCAAATTTCAACCAAGCACATACTTTTGCATAGCATAACTTCATGCGTTGGTTTGGTACCGTCGACAGGTCTCTTCTTTCATCAAAAGATCCGACTTTGCAGTTTCCTAACCTACTGATGTGATACCTGTAAGCAAACTAATTCAATGTTTCTGAATTCAGAACCTGGGTTTGCACTGGTAGTTAACTGAACTCCGTGATGGAGTGTTGTTACATATTCACCTGTATGAGCACTGAATTTGATTTGTCAGATATTCAAATCATTATGTCCAAAATATCAAGTTGTTTTTCTTCAAACAAAAATAGATAAGCATGGACGTAATTAAGTTTGATATGGGATGAACACTGAAGACTGAAAGTTACTCTCAAATTGTTGTCAATACACGTCACATTCTTGTTCATAAGTACATTGTACTTCTCGCCCGGCTATTTTCTTGACAAAGCGATGAACATGCCGTTTCCATGACTAGCCTCCTTTAACAGAAAGATTCAGCATGGTCCAGACCTTCAAATTAAATTTACCACAGCAATAGAAGTATGTACTAGCTGGCTGGAAAATTTAGCAAACCAGCGTTTAGGGCCCCTTTGAATTAAATGATTTATGTAGGAATTTAATAGGATTCAAATCCTATAGGAAATTTTCCTATTTGGCCCTTTGATTCAAAGAATTGAAGCTTTCCAAATCCTATGAAATTCCTATGGAATGGCACATTGCATGTGGATTTTAGAGGAAATTTAGCAAGAGCTCCAACCTCTTGGAAAATTTCCTTTGAGTCTATCTCTCTCATCCGATTCCTGCGTTTTTCCTGTGCACCAATCAAACGACCATTCCTGTGTTTTTCCTGTGTTTTGCAATCCTCTGTTTTACACTTCAATTCCTGTCAGAATCATGTGTTTTTTCTATTCCTCCGTTTTTTCTATCCTGCGATTCAAAGGGGCCCTTAATTTCTGATAGACTTAATATCTCAAACTTCCACATCAGCTTGAATTCTTGGCCATGTCATTCATGGGGGGCAGTTGTGTGCCCAACCTAAACAGCTTTCCTTCCTGAAGTTCGACAATGCTTTTGTTGCATAATTTTGTAACTGACCCATAGATGCATACAGCATCCATCTCTGTCCCTTAAAAAATATTTTTTTGGCTATGAATTTGAAAAAGCTATCAAATTTTAAGCAGTATTTGTTCTTTTTAAAATGGAGGGAGTACTGTATAGAGGTTACAAACTAGTTCTCAGTTTGGTCCCTTGGCTATCTAGAGTGAAATAGGGAACCACAAGTCAATAATAAGCAAACAAGAAAAATAATGGTGATAAAAACGTGACTCTAGAACACAATTCCTTATGCCTTCCACACACCACTGCTTTTCTTTCTAGGTCTACACTCTACAGTATATCCAATTCATTGTCACGTACAACTCCTTTTGGATTGCCATCATAATGTCTTAGTTTGGAGCAAACATGCCATCGCTTTCTGAAGGGAAATCAGCTGTCACAACTCATAAGCACTAAACTGCTTGCTTTACCAACTAACTTAACTGAAGAAAAAAAAAAGTTGGGACTAGTTTTCACTTGGTAAGATAAACAAGAAATTGTCACATGGTGAAACCTCTTTCCATACTTTCAGAAGCACAAGAGATTAACAACATTTTTTACTTTGGTAAAACTGTTGAAGAGACAGTGCTAACGACATGTACGAAAGCTCCCAAAAATTGCTACCAACCTCCTATTTTCATTCTCAATTGTTGTCCCTTCATCTAGCAATGCCAAACTCATAGGAAAGCATCTTGTCCTGTGCAAATCATGCCCATGGCCTAATGAATAGATGATTTGGTGCAACAGAAAAAGGTGCTTCTCGTGTCCATTTGTACCTTTTTGGGGCCCTAAAGCATCTCAAAGAACACAAAACGTTGCTGCTGCAACAGATGGCATGCATGGCCAACCAGTCTGATGATGTGTCACTCTGTCTGCATAAATGCTACAAGCAAACCATTGTATATACTCCCTCTATCCCAGAATATAAGAAGTTTTAGGGGTTATATATATTTATTAAGAAAGTAGATAGAAGTGAATGGTGGAGGGTTGTGATTGGATGAATAGTAGAGGTAGGTGTGAAAAGTGAATGGTGAAGGGTTGTGATTGGTTGGGAAAAGAATGTTGGTGGAAAATTTGTTATATTTTATAACAAATTCTGATGGTTAAAAGATATTATATTTTAGTACAGAGGGAGGGAGTACTTGTTAAGTTTGTTCCTAACTACTGATCTCAAAAGGTAACATACTACTATGTTAAGCTCTCGTGGGAGCATTACTAGTAATTAAGTACAAGACCAAACATAGATTGCTTCACAATGTGACAACAATGTGCATCCCATGGTCACATGAAGCAGAAATCTAATGGCATGTGTTTAGATAAGGAAAGAACAGTGCTTTATGTCCTACAAATCTACGCACACATGCAAGAAAAACAATGTTGACAACCTCTGCACAGAATAGCATAAAACATTGGGAATCCTCCCATGTGATGGTGGCTAATTACGAAATTAATGGTGTCAGATTTCGTACCAAGGTCTTAAAAATATATCATGCAAAAACACTGCATTGCAGAGTTCATATTGAATGGCAACATGATTGTGTAGATACGGCCAATCTGAATAGCTGCATATCTGCCATAAAGTGATAATAAACCTGCCGGTTTCTCACACTGGTCCTTGTCAAGAAAAGATTCTGATCGCTGAATTATATGACCGAGTTGAATAGTATCCATTTATTTTGTTATTGTGATATGGGCATAGGTGCCTTAAAAAAATATGGGATCATAATAATAGTGGCATTAAAAAAAAGAGAAAGTACATCCGGAACAAAACCTCTTGAAATGATAAGACGAGCACCCCCTCCATTCTTGCATTTATTCACGCTGGTCTACCAAGAAATATGAAGGAATAGCTATGTAGTAATATGGTGCAGCATTGAAAACCAGAGACTTAACAGATATATGGAATAAAAGTAGGCATCAATTGAAAGAAGAGAGAAAAGCTGCATCATGTTTAAATTTAATGAACCCAGAGAACTGTTATCCATGCTTAATCTACAAAAGATGAGGGGATTGGTTGTGCCATTGTGGGCTGCAATTAGAAAGGCACTCATGGGCCTTACAAGTTGGGATGAATAACCCTCTTATTGCAGTAAAGCTACCTCAGGATTTTTTGGAGACTGCGGTTTCAAAAAGTATCAAGAAAAGCTTTAAACTTTCAGAAGGCTGGACCTGAAATGCAGAAGGCTCCACTTTGGAATTATTTGCCTAAAATCATAGCATAACAACGTAGTCTTAATGTCCTGGCAATTAAAATTTCACACCCTATCACCATCACCTCGTTTCACTGGTATGTTCCAGGTTGATACTTCCTCCGTCTCAAAATATGTATGAGTAAGAGTGATAATACAGGCCTATAAAAACATGTTCTGTCCTTCAGTGATGTCAATGATGAAATAAATAGCAAGAAATTATCCATGTTTCATATTTCAGAGGTCATCAGTAATTGCAAATCTTTTTTTGCCGGGTCGGCGAAAGGGTGCTGACCAAATTTCATTAAGATCAAGGAAATTGCAAATCCTTTTTTTGAGACAAAGGCAAAAGCTTTGCCTTATTACATTGATACCCAAGGAAGAGTACACATCCGAGTACCAACCCAACAGATAACACCTTACGAACACTCCAAACTCAAACCAGGCTACAAAGCACCTGAAACACTGGACACCAAATCAGTAATTGCAAATCTAATATGTGGTTGGGGGCCAAAGTGAATGAATTTTTACTAACACTCCAATCGAGCAGAATTTTAATTATTGTAACCATAAGTCCAATCAAGCAGGAATTTTTCCCAAGGGTCCTCTGGTCTCATTATCTGATGGCAGGTGATGTGTAATTTGGACCGGATACCGAAACAAAAATGTACAGGAGTTTCCAAGAAGAAAGCAATCTATCATATTCACAAATTTGAGTGAATTGAGTCAGTGTCTAGCATGTCTAACACTGTTTCATTATAAATTTATAATATTTACGAGCTTGAACAACCTATATTCATGTGCCCCCCTTGTCCATCTCTGAAGGTATTGCTGAAGTTTTGCATATTGGACACCAGTTCTTCTGTCTAAGCCATTCATGAATGCAGGACACATGGTATTGATGCTCACACTGCATCCTACCAACTTCTTCGCCCTCAATGTATTCCTCCTGTAGCATAACGTTAATATCAAACAGTGCCAATTAGAAGCATAAGCAACACAAGGAAATAGTTGTCTAACGTAAAATAAGTACAGCATGTGCATTAAAATGGCTAATGAACGGGACATATAGAAAACAAAATAAGAAAAATTGTAGAGCTGAGAAAACATGAAGCTAAACATAATTTTCCTCAACATAATACTCCTATTTTCCTTTGCTTTATTGTGCACCCTAAGTAATCATGAATTATATTAATTAACATCGTGTGCAACAGAGATGACAATCTCTGAGTAATACCTGACATATGCTGCACTTGGCGTCATCTAGTACAGCTCTGTTCGCTTCAAGATCTGAATTTGGTAACTTATACACATTTCGCTTGAGACACTTCACAAGCTGCTCATCAGATAGGGCAGTGCTGACAGAACCGATTCGCTCCTCTAGTGCTAATAGTTCCTGAGCAAATGAAAAGCAGAAGAAAATACATAACCTTCTGATGTCAGAATCAGATGAGCCGATGACACTTCTTTGTTAAGGAAAGAGATATTCTAATTGAACCTTTGAGGAAGAATCAACATGGTGAAAGCAATACCTCATAAGACATGTTGTCAATATCCATTCTCATATCTCTGTGCTGGTCATGCAGGCCAAGGCCGCTAAGAAACAAGTTAGTTTCTAGCACCAGCAATTGCTGCCAATATTTTCATCCAGAAGGCCAGAGCACATTTCAGTACCATGTTAGCAATAAAATTGAAAAAAGGGAATCAAGTCAAAGAACTAACCTCATAAGTCAATTCATCATCTTGTTCAATCCTGTCCAATGCTAGCAACACCTGAAAACAGGAATCACACCAAATATCAAGAAACTGTAGCAGCCAATAGAATACAGTATATTGCAAATATATGATATTTAGTAAATTTCATCCCAAACAAAATGTAGGCACAGTATGACAACTCAGACAAGTATGTTACAAGTTTCTGGAAAACAACCTCAGCGATGCCTTCCATGTTTATACGCCTGTAGTTCTCTCTCTCCACCAGCAAACCATGAAACATTTGTGGAGGGCTTTCGTCAGGGCGGTAACTTGATCTGCTCCTTGCTGTCTGATTACTTGAGCCTTGACGACTAGATGAGTATATCTCATGTGGTAATTCCATAGAAAAAGGCCTCATCGATCTCCGTGGGGCAGCTTCACCCAAGGAGAAATGAGCCCATTCTGGTTGGCGATCCCTTGCAAGAGTTTCACGAAGAGCAAACACGCTATCCTCCCTTTCATTTGGCACCCTTACTCTGGCATGCTGAGTAGAAGGTCGCCTAATCCTTGAAGAATCTGCAGACTCCTGAATACTTCTGCTACTAGTCCGTGTTTGCTGAGAAGCTGATTGTTCAGCAGTTCTGACTCTAGGACCAGTGATACCAGAATACATGGCAGGTGAATGGCCTAAACTAGAGTGTCCATTTAAGCCCCTTGGTCTAGAAGAACTCTCTCCGTCAAATGCCCTGTTTCTCATAACCTCAGCCCTCTTATTATGAATAGAATTAGCTGAAGAACAGCCAGAAGGCAAAACATCAGATATTGATGTGCAGCCAAGGTTTTTTAGAGTACGTCTCTGTACCCCAGGGCCAGCAGCATTTGATGATTTCACACCATTGGTAGAATTTCGAGGTATAGTGGACCGATTAACAAAAGCAGAAGCAGTTTGAGGTCTAATCTGACACAATTCTTCTTTACCCTTCTGCTGACGTGATTTAGATCTCAAAGCAGCATTTCTGACTACAGAACCAATTGCATGTGCAGACACCCCTGAAGAAACAGAAGAATCTAATAGTTCAGGATCAAGTTCTGCAGGCTGATCTTCAGTAGTTGATGTGGACAACAAATCTTCTGGCTCATCCTGCTGACCATATGGATGCACATCCTCCTCAACAACAGCTTTCTTGCTACACTGCAGACGGTTGGCCTCAGTTCTTCTGCTACTACTTTCTGCATTATCTGCCTCTCCTAAAAATGTCCGTCCTTGTTTTTCCTCGAAATATTTTCTGACGGGAGCTTTTGAAGAGCTTGGACATGCAGCCTTAGTGCCTGATGAACGAAATGGCTCACGTAAATATCTTGGCTTCTCCTTACTGTCAGCCCACCTGGCATTCATTGGGTTGAGTTTTGTCTTGTTTGGCCTCTCCTCATTGCCTTGATCTTTTAAGGAGACACTAGAGCCTCTTCTAAGAAAACCAGTTGTTGATATTGATCTACCAGAATCTTCCTCCATACCAAAACAGAGTACAGCACAAGGAGATGTATATCTTCTCTAGTACAACTTGTGCTAAAGTTCTGCAACCACAAGTTTTTAAAGGTTAGGAAACCAACAACACCACAGAACTAATGTTTCCGCAAAATAATAAGAATGGAAACCTAGACATACATGAAAGCAGCGTATCTAGAAGTGATACAGTTGAGGTGAGAAAATGTGAAGAAGGTTATATCACCTTCACACCTACTGTTAGTTATTGTCAACATTTTACTCCACTCCATGCATGAGAGCCATAGTTACATTCCCTCTTCTGAATTTCTAAAATTGCATTGCATTGCTATTGCTACAAGGTCTGTCTCCACAATTTCATTTCTTTCTTTCTTTTTTAGCTTATCAAAAAGGGAAAAAAAAGTGACGCGTATACTTGTTATAATAATATTATTTTTGTTTCCCACAATGAGGAACAGTGAAAAAAAGTGCCAATTGCCTTGCGACTTATATCATCCAGCCAATTAAAATTATCACAGAATGACACAGTTATACTGACCAAAAATTGTATAGCAGCATCGATTGCCATATTATGACTCGGAATTTAGCTGATCATAACACCATAAAATGGAGGTTCAATTCAGTTGAACCCCAAAAATTTTTTTGGGGGAAACAAACTGTTACTTGTATTAAGGTTAAGGCTCTGAAATTAAGAGAAAAAAACTTCTCCCAGATCTAGAAGCGAAGCAGCTAGGGTTAACGCACGCAAGCAAAAATTCAAGACAAAAGTGGGTGGTGGGACAGAGTCACGGAGAGATGAATGAGAGAAAGAGAGGATGCGGATGCTCACCGGGACTCAGCCCGACGACGGCGCCCCCCTCCCCTGCTCCTGCTCCCTACTCCTGCTCTGCTCGTGAGATGGATATCGGCGCAGCCGCCGCAGAGACGACGGGACCCGTAAGGAGGCCGGCCGCGTCGGCGTCGGCCCTCCAAACCTGCTCGTCGTCGTCGGCCGTGTGGCGCGTGCGCGCGCGAGGAGGGAGAAGGGCTAGTGCGGGTGGTCCGGAAGGCGACGAGACCAAACGGCGGCGAAGGCGGCGGCGGCGGCGGCGACGACCTTTGCCCTCTCTCTCTCTCTTCTTCCTCGCGAGGCGGAAATGGAGACGACGATTTGGTCAGATCCCAAGTGATTTATTTCAGCCTCCGTGCCGTTAACGGGTCCCTACCCACCGTGACCCGACCCGTTTACCACGTAACGGAGCCCCGTCTTCACACGTGGCGCGCTGATCCCCCGCACGTGTCCACCCCCACGAAGGCAGATCCGGCCGTTGGCGCCGCGTCGAGATTCGTGCGCGGCGTGGGACTCGTCCACGTCGGCGCCACGTGTTAAACGCCCCCCGCCGCCGTGGAAGGTTCGGCGCAGCTGCCGCTTTCTCACGCCGCGGGTTTCCATCTGAAGACAACAAAGCAGCAGGAGCTAGAAGGAGCTTTCTGCATTTTTTTTTAATCCTTCCAAACTCCTAATCCCAGCAGGATTAGAGGGGAAAGTGAGATAATTTTTTAGAGCCAATTTGGTTTTAGCTTTCATATTTATCCGTCATTTTCGCTGTTTTGGAGGGCCTTGCATGTCGGTCCATCATTATCCAAGAATCAATTTCGAGCAGAGAATGTATTGGTCCTTAAGAAATTGTTGAGAGAGATAGCAAGAAAAGGATGTCTACCATTTAGAACTCACCTTATATTAGTACTTTCTCCGTCATAAAATAATTTAGATATAGCTTAGAGCTAGAACTAAATAGGACACATCCGTACATATTTTAGTACGATGAATTTGAATAGATTTTCGTGTTTTATCTAATGCTAGATTATTATATATTAAGGCCAGTGAAATAAGAATTAGCAATGTAACCCGACTTAGCTTACAGCTTTCTCACTTAAACATAGTATGGTCTCTTTTTACATAACATAAGCAATCCTATGGGGAGTAGCAGTTGAACTACAGTGACTTTTAAACCACAAGAAATGGGTACTAAGCGAGGGTGTGAAATATAATACTACTACTCTTGTTCAGGAACATTTGTGTAATTCCGAGTAGTAGTTGATTGTGTCTAATCCATCGTACTGTTCATTGGAGATGCAGGGAATGGGATATATCTCCTGTTAATCTTGGGTGGAAAGGCAATTAGGTAGGAGTTAACACGAGATGAGTTGCTACTTCTCTCTCAAGTGAAACAGATAACTTGCACTGTTGCACAGATCCTAATCTCCCCCTTAATGTTTCCTTAAGAATCTATTTGTCCATGCATGGTAAACTATGCTTGTCAGAATAAATAATAGTGTTTCATATGGTACCAATGCTGGTTTCTTTCTCACTTGGAATTTTCAACTTCAGGGGTGTGTGCTCAATTGATGGACAACTGCTGATCTGGTGATGTAGAGTACTTAACTCTTTTCTCTCCTTTTTTCTTCCATTTTTCTGACTCTGAAACAGAAAAAAATTAGTACTACGAAGTACCAACTGCAAACTGCAAACCGGTTCTTAAATATTGGCAACATCTCGATTTGAACTTTTCAACTGTTGGAATGACTGCCTAACACATATTCTTCTAGTTCAAAGCAAATCAGCAGCGAAGGCAATGAGATGACATCAACAGGAACAGGAGTCAAGTTGATCAAGGCATTTGTGAGTTGGTATGAGAGCTGTAAATGAGACGACATAAAAATGAAACCAAATATGGGGTAGGTAGATCATGCAAATTAGTGGCAGTCAGGGACAAATGTTGGGCCAAATCAGCAATTCAGGCGTGCTCTCTCCTTCCCAAAAAATAACAGGCAAAGTAAAGAAACAGGAGTAAGCAAAGTGCACCCGCTTTGTAATAGTTGCCAAACAGAAAGATCCATTGCTACCTGTGGTACGCGTGTGATCTTCTTTGTTAAGCCAAAATTGACGATAAAGTAGAGAGCTAATGGCCGGCCAGAACAAGTGGTACATCATAATGCCAAAACTGTTTTGTATAGGATTCAGAGAAGTGGTTGTAAGTTTTTTTTTTTTCAGCTTGTAGCATCATCCTGTATACATCATATAGGTGTTTTATCGTCATGTTGATCGAACGGCTCAATTTGACTGTAAAAATTATTTATGAGAATTTGAACAAGTTATTACTACTTGATATGCGCTGAACAATCCTTCCTACGAAAGAATCTGGGGTGACATAAATTTGCTTCAGCTTTTGTTCTAACTCTGCAATCCTCAGCTGGGGTCAAGCTATCCGCTCCCTTGCCGCCATCTTTGTCATATCCTGTGCCTTTTTGTAGCTTTTGGTTGTGCACTTGTGCCTTCCTTTGATGAAAGTGAGCATCTAGTGCTTACTTCTTTTTCTTCCTTTCGCCATGATTGCTTCTCAAGGACAACAATGGAACAACCAGCTTTAGCATTTGGACCCCCAGCTTCCTTCACTGCCATGAAAAGTTTTGTGGAACCTCCACAACACAACTTGAGTCCCAATTTGCAAGAAATTCCATAGAATTTTCAACCTTCTTTATCCAACCATGTTTAGGTTTTAACAGAAAGAAGTTCGTTGATCAATGCCAAAAGAAAATGGTACGGTTGGAGGTCTGTTCAGATGCCGTTCATCCAAATATTATATCACCGGATTGGCGTGATGATGAGTGATGAGTATGTCATTACTTGTCGTCCGTTAGCATAAGCCCAATTAGATATTGGCAGCTTTTAGACTAACAAATGCATTAAAATTTGGCCCAACCGATCGATCGATCACTAACTACTCCCTCCGTACTTGTAAAGAAAGTCGTTTAGAACAAAGTTTAAGTCAAACATTAGGAATATAAATTATAAATAACTCTTAAGTTGTTGAGTTTGAAAATATAAAAATTATATGAATAGATTTGTCTTGAAAAATATTTTCATAAAAGTATACATATATCACTTTTTAATAAATATTTTTATAGAAATAAGAAGTCAAAGTTGTGTTTTGGAGACCTTGTCGTTGTCCAAAACGATTTCCTTTACGAGTACGGAGGGAGTACTGTTTCTCTTGGCTCAATGGCAGATGGGCCTTGGGAGCTGATTGAGCTTGGTGCTAACCCAAAAAAATGCTTTTATTTTGAAAGTGAAGCTTTATATAATTCAATGCAGCTGGTAGCTTAGCTGCAGATCGATCAATGCGTCCGGTTTCATCAAATGATTGCCGCATTTTCTGTTGATGGCAGACAGCCAGGTGTGAGCTCTCGAACGTGTAAATGACATTGCAGAATGCAGAATGGTTCACACACAAGCCAGATTGTTAATTCTTGAGTCACAAGCTTTCCCATTATTTCACCGTGCATATCATGCATGCACGAGCCAACGACTGTTTATTCACGCACGCACGTACGCGAATCGTGTGGGGGGGGGGGGGGGGGGGGAACCGTGTGTTCGCACGAGGAATTCAGAGGCGGTGTGTAGCGTTAGGCGCGCGCGCCCACCGGCCGCGGCCGCGTCCACTCCACGCAGAGGCAGGCGGCTGCTACGCAGCGCGCGCGCACACGCGACGCGTGGGGGAATAGCCGAATACAGCGTATGTGGCGGTGGGGCATGCGGGCAGAATTGAGAATTGACGGGGCACTCGCCGTTCGGTACGGGTGGCTCGCGCGTCGTACGTCCCGCTCGCTCGCTCGCTGAAGAATCAGCCTTGCGATGCAGTGCCAGCTCGAAGATTAGGTCAAACGTACGCACGCTGATTGGCGACTTGGAGTCTTGGAGACCTGGAGTTGGAGCTGTACGACAATACAACGGTGGCGTGCGTGGTTTCCGGGTAGTACGCTCTCCAGGTCCAGGGCATGATTGAGTTTGAGTTTGAGTCCAGGAAGGAAGAAACTGTATACGGGTGATGAATCGTCGCGCAGCTGGCGGCTGGTGTTGGTACGGCGAGGCTTTGCAATTATCGTGCGACTTTGAGACTTGAGATCACGTATCCACGTCGTTCCTGATGACCTGATGATTCCAGTACTCGTGCGAAAAAATTTTCGTTGGGCTGTGTAATTTTTCCGATGTTCAGGTCATTGAGGGTTAGTACAAGGCACTCGAGAAAATACTCAATATGTCCTTGTACCATCGCCATTCGCCGGTTCACCAATCACCATGGCCGTTGGACTTGATGAGAGAGTCAGACGCGTCTGCGACTCTTCGGCGGCGAGACGTGGCGGGCTGTGGGGGAGGAGGGGCACCAGGCTCGATGGGCCTCACTGAATCTAATGACACATAAGTGCCACGTTAGCACTACGTGGTACAACGATAAAATCAATATCGTCACGTAGGTGCTACGTCAGCGAAACCATCCTCCAATACCGTTGAGGGAGTCAAATTGCATCGGTTCTAAGAGAAGAATCAGATTCCATCACTCGAAGGGAGTCAAAGTGAACTTATTCCGCGATCTGCGACCACATTGGTTTCACATGGTAGCCATCTGGGCCATGCAGGACAAGGGTGGCGTTGCATCCGGCCGGCCCACGTGGCCCGTTATAGCTTTTTGTCTGCCCGCTGAGCTTTTCGGGCTGGCCCATACAGCCCATGCCTTCTTTTTTTTTTTAACTCCCGCATGCCTTCTTTTTTTTGTTACTATCAAACTGTCTGTTTGTCTCTGTCAACTGTTAACCATGAGAAATGAAAATGATACACGCACAAAAAAAAAATTCTGACAAACTCTTTACAAAAACTGATTTGGAAAAGTGTTATCAACTGATCATAAGAAAAAAAACATACAGGTAGTACTTCCTACAAAAAAAAAATACAGGTACTCAAACGATACGTTCCTCTTGGTGTCATGCTCTTTGAAGATTTCTGAAAGATAAGCGTTGAAAAAGCATTGGTTAAACCTTTTCTTTCTCTGTGAAGAAGAAGCAGTCCGTGTGCAGACTTTGCAGATATGGCTGTTTAAAAATAGGTGATGGGAGAGAAACGGCAAGAGGTTGGATGTGTCACCAGGTGTCAACTATGGCCTCACAGTTGCAACCATTTGACAAGGTCTGTCTGAGAACATGAGGCCCTTCTATTGCCCGGCTTTCTCTCATCGTGTTGCCTTGTATCCCCTTCTCTCTCCCAAACGCCATTCTTGGCCGTTTCAAGCTTAGAAAAAGGTATCAATCTTCTCTCCTCCTCTTAGTTTGAAGACATGGAAAGCTTTCGTGTGTTCATGTGTTCATGGTTGATGGCGGTCAAGCGGCGATGAATTGATATCACTGGGTTCTAGGTATGCTGTCTGTTCGTCCATGTCCTTTCCTCAAGAAATTCGCTTGCCTTTGTGTTCGTGAAAACTCTTGTTGCTGTAATGATCAATTAAAAGACGATCATGATATATCTGCAGAAACATGAACTAATTAAGTGATTTTGGTTTATATCTTGAGTACTACTATTAGTTTTATCCTTTACATGCCATCCAATTATCAAACAAACAGAGAAACATCCCAAGTCCCAACCTTATTGTTCTTGTATAAACAAAAAGTTCTAGGAGTAGGAGTGCAAAGGTATTGACAGGTGAAAAAGTTTTGCAGCATAAATAGTAATCAACAAGGCCAAAAAAAAAAGATAATAAAAAGGTGGAATCAAATTAGAAAGCCAATGGCTCCAGAACGTGCAAGGAGTGTTTTGTCAGGTCAAACAATTACAAAATCCTGAATATGCCCAGGAAACTGGTTCACAAAAAGAAGGCATAAACATGCAGTTTAACCTTTGCATGTCTAGCTAGGGACATTAAATCAGTGGTGAACATGTTGCCAAAGTGCCAAACAACATCTAAATCTTCGAGGTCAACCACAGAAGATTCAAAACAAAATTAGCACCAGCTCATAAATTCCAAAAGCATGGCTTAAGCATGAAAGCTCCTGAAACTGAAGGATCAATGCTCTGACAAGTCTCCCTGCTGTGTCTCGCAGCAGAAGCTTAAGCAGCCGCCCATGGCGACACGGCCGTCGCCGCGGTCGCGAGACAGCGCGCGGCCGAAAAGCACAAGCGGGAGGCCTCCGTCGAGCCCGCGAAGCTCCGACACCACCCGCCGCTCCTCCTTCACCGCCGCCTCGTCGTCCGACAAGCCGGTGCCGTCCTTCCTCCGCCCCACCGTGAGCTCGTCCCTGCACAGCTCGTCTTCGTCATCGCCGTCGTCGTCGTCGTTGTTGTCGTCGTCTCCCTCCTCCAAGGGCACCGGCACCACGCCGAGGAGGTCCGCGGACAAGGCCCCGTCTGCGTCTGCAGCTTCGTCGCGGCCGATCACGCCCAAGGACAAGGCCCCCGCTGTAGCGACGTCGCGGCCGATCACGCCCAAAGACAAGGCCAAGGCGGCGGCGGCGTCGACGTCGCGATGGTCCGCGGTGTCGCCGAGGCAGCTGATGCAGAAGGCGTCCAATGCCTTTACAAGAGGCAGCAGCAGCAAGTCGCGCGCTGCCAAGAAAGACAAGGAGGCGGCCACCCCGGCGGCGACCTCGGCCGCCGCCAAGGACGCGGCCACTCCGGCGTCGACCTCGGCCGTCCGCAAGAAGGCCGCCACACCGGCGACCTCGGCGGCTGGAAAGGCGGTGGCCGGTGCTTCGCCCGGGCCGACGAGAGCCCAGCCCACGGAGGAGCACCACCAGCAACCCACTGAAGCGCCGCCGGCCGAACCGTCACCTGCCGCCGCCGCGGTGCAAGAAGAGGCGGTGACTTCGAGAGCCCAGCTCACGGAGGAGCACCACCAGCAACCACCTGAAGCGCCCGCCGAGCCGTCACCTGCCGCCGTCGCCGTGCAAGAAGAAGCAGCGGCTGCGGAGACCGAAGCAGAGCAAGAAAAACAACCGGATGAGACGCCGCAAGAAGTCGTCGCGGCAGTGGAGGAGAAAGTTCAAGACGAGCAGGTTAGCACGGAAGCAGCGGAGGAAGCCATCGCCGTCGAGGAGGATGCCGCCGCCGTGAAGACCGATGCGCCGGAGCCGGAAGAGACGCAGACGCAAACCGGTGCCATTGCAGAGTCGGAAACAGAGTTTCAGAGGAGTTCAGAGGATGAGCCGGCATCCGACGCCATTGTCGAAGAAGCGGCGATCGAATCTGCAACGCAGAATGAGCCAGATGAACCAGAATCCACCACGGTTGAAGAGATGGCCGTCGAGGAGGAGATCAAGACCGATGAGAGCCAACAAGAAGAGACGCCAAAACCAGAAGAGAGAATGGAGAACTCTGAAACAAGCGTGATCTCTGAAGATCCAAAAGAAATGGATGCAATCTCTGAAGACCAAAAGGTGGAAGAACCCGTGGTTGCTGAAGAACAAGAGGAACTCTCCGAGGTTGTAAAAATGGCTGTCGAGCCGAGCATCTCGTCAGAGCCAGCAACGCCGCTGGAGGAAGAAGATCGCGACGACGTGGAGACGGAGCAAGCGAACTCGTCGGAGCCCGCAACGACGGTGGAGGAAGAAGAAGATCGCGACGACGTGGAGACGGAGCAAGCGAGCTCGTCAGACCCCGCAACGCCGTTGAACGAAGAAGCTATCAACGAGGAGGGCACGTCGACGGAGACGGGGAAGACGAAGAAGGTGGCGTTCAAGGGGAGCAAGGTGAAGACGGCGATGGAGAGGCGGCCGGAGGGGGAGCAGCCGAGGAAGAAGGACGTGGCGCGGAGCAACGACGTGATCGAGGAGACCAAGAGGACGCTGATGATGAAGAGGAAGAGCAAGGTGAAGGCGCTGGTTGGGGCGTTCGAGACGGTCATGGACACCCCCAGCCCGGGAAAATCGAGCTGATTTTGATTTGGATTTTTTTTTCTTTTTTTTTGGAGGGAAAGCTTCAGCGGTGATGCACGTATTGAGTGGTTTGAATTGAACTGCGAGGTGTGCTTTGTGGTGTGATGTTTCGGTTTCTTGTTCTCTTTGTTGCATTGATCGTTGATTGATTCTTCTGATAACTGAAACAAATGGAAATGTTATTGTCGATTTGTTTGTTTGTTGATCATTCGATCTAGTGTTGTTTACTAGGCTTAGTTGTATGTAACTAAAAAGGGAAATAGCTGTGTGTTCTTGAGAGCTGAGACTGGTGTGGTTGTCAACTTGTGCTACATTGCTGAGTTTTGAGATTTATGCTTGTAAACAATTATTGATGACATGCAATCCATTTTGTACGTTTTTTACATGTTCATGGATATGGATTTCTTTATAGTACATGCCCTCATTTCATACATGAAATTTGAATATTTATTGAAAATAACTAAAGAAATGATGATATCATCTACCCTCTCTGCTCCAAAATATAAACACTAGTTGAAATACCAAAAATATAATAACTTCCAATACTATTGATCTCATCAATCACCTTTCATTTAATTCTTTTTCTGATCTTACCTCTAACCATTCCGATAACAAAGTATTTTTCTTGTTAGGTTTACTCTCAGTTAATTTTTTTTTAATAATGGAATAGAACATCATCCTCAACAAGCTACAACCAATTATTACATCCAAACACTCAAAGTGAGTGTAGTCTCTGTTAAATAACCTAGAGATTATTATATTTTGAAATGAAAGGAAGTACCATTGTATCGTACTCCCTCCGTCCTACAATATAAGGGATTTTGAGTTTTTGCAGCGTTTGACCACTCGTCATATTCAAAAATTTTTTGCAAATATAAAAAACGAAAAAGTTGTGCTTAAAGTACTGTGGATAATAAAATAAGTCACAAATAATAATTTAAAATTTTTTTGAATAAGACAAGTGGTCAAACGTTGCAAGCAAAAACTTAAAATCCCTTATAATCTGGGACGGAGGGAGTACCAAATTTCATTTTAGTAGTGTACCAATATTACAGGCAAAAATACAATGTCGGAGCCTCGGAGGCCACTAGGGTTTAGATAAAAGAATATTTACCAAAATGCATTTTATGGCCAGTAGGGTTGAGATCATCTCACCACAAAATTTCCGACATAGTATACAGGCATAATCTCAACTTCTCAAGATTACAGGTACACATCCGAATCACACAAACGGAAGAAGCGTCATACAGAGGAGGAGGAGATCGTCGTGCCAGTCTTCAGCTGAGCTCGAGGAAGCGCCGTGCCATGGGGTGCTTGGCCTCGGACAGCTCCGACGGCGGGAGCACCTCGACGACCTCGCCGGCGACGAGGAGGCAGACCAGGTCGGCGATCCGCTGGATCTGCTTCACGCTGTGCGACACCATCACCGTGGTGAGCCCCCTCGTCTTCTTCAGCCGCACGATCGCCTCCTCGATGTTCTGCGTCGAGATGGGATCCAACGCGCTCGTCGGCTCATCCAGCAGAAGCACCTGCACACACACTCCAACATCAGAATCCGATCCTGAATCCGAAACACCAAGATGCGTCGCGTTGCAATCAGCGAAAAGGCTGAATAATCCAACATGCCTCCGGATCGTTGGCGAGGGTGCGAGCCAATGCGACGCGCTGCGCCTGGCCGACGGAGAGCTCGGAGGCGGGCTTGGAGCAGAGAGCAGGGTCCAGGTCGGCGAGGCTCAGTAGGCTCTGCACCTCGGCGTCCGTCAGCTTCTTGCCCTGCAGCTGTGGCCCGTATCGCACGTTGTCAGCCACGGTTCCTGGCACAAGTGTCAGACCACTTCAGTTTTTTTGCATGAGAAATATCAAATACTCCTGTCAAATCTGTGTTTGGTGCATTGAGCTTTTGCATCTGGGGGGATATATACTTGAGCCATGTGCCTCAAATGAGAAAAATAGGACTCAATGGGGAAATGGAGTGTGCCAGAGTAGATCGGATCTGTTGAATCAATTTTAACTTGGAATAAAAAATTAAAATTATAGCTTTGGAAAACCTGGCATATTAAGGGTGTGTTCTTAACTACAATTTTTAAGCTGTTCCAATTTTTACTCTCTTTTTTACGTGCACGTTTCCTAAACTGCGAAACGATATGTTTTTTTGTAAAAAAAAATTCTATGGAAAGGTTGCTTTGGAAAATTGCTTTAATTTATTATTCAATTTCTTTAGTTAATACTTAATTAATTAGGTGCTAATGAGTCATTTTGTTGTGTGTGCTATAGAGGAAGTGTTTCCAAAATGCACCTTCAAACACAACCTTAGGGAGCTTCGGGTAGTTGTAGTTTCTCCCACAATAAAAATACTTTTCAAAATAGTTTTTATCTTCAAATTAAAATGAGTTGTAGTTGTAGAATGAAAAAATAAACTAGAGCAGAAGCTAGGTTTTTCCAAATTTCTACATATTCTCACCAGCCGAATCCTTACCTGTTGCTTCTTAGAATTTAAGCTCCCCTAAACAATCCCACGGAGTCTTATGAAATTTGACTTTTTAAAACTTCTTTTTGTCATGAATCATATGAAATTTGACCGTTTTTTACTTTTTTTTTCTAGATAATATATTGAACGCCCTCTGTTATTTTGCTTAGAATAAGTCCCCCTGTCGCATTGAAACGTCAGCCACGAGCTTGGAAGATTCTAGTTACTGTAGGTTACTCATCGCCACGTTGGTAGAGGCGTACCAATTGACATGCATGTCCCACTCAACTGACGTTAGCAAGCAGTGACATCTTCTAAGAAAAAAAATATTTGAAGCAAGATTCCACTTACGTTGGTAGACAAATTAAGCATCCATTTTATCAAGTACATTGCACTAGCTTTAGACCTTGTTTAAGCCTCTAATAATCAGTTGACGAGTAGCGAGTAGATAAGAATTTGGAAAAGTTAAGTTTCACAACTTCTAGTTTCTAGTATTTTTTAAAAATATTTTGTATCTACTACCTCCGTCTCAGAATGTAACAAACTAAGATGGATTTAATCTCATACTAGAAATACGAATGTTCAGATTCACAGTCGTCTCATCCTAGGTTGAAATATTCTGGCAAACTGAGGAGTATCAATTATCAGAATTTAGGTTAGAATCTGAACTATTTAAGGGAGCTATAAAGTCTAGAAGAAGTTACAACTAGCAAAAGCTCTCATGTATTTGGCCTTAGCGTAAAAACTCTTTCAACTAAAAGTACCCGTCCTCTAGTGTAAAAGTTCACTGCAAGTTGAAAATTGATGCGGTTTCTTAGGTAGAAAAAAACTTATCACCCATTTCTAGGAAACAAGACGAGGGCAAAAAAGTGCTCAACTTGGTTTTATCTGTTTATCAAATGCTATAACTCGGCTTTCATTTGTTAGGTTTTGACTGCGACATTGGTACATTTTATCATTATTTCCCCCTTATTATAACTTATTATTGACACAACTAGGCTAATCAATCGTAAGAGTGGCGAATAGTTAATTATTCATATGAAAAATGCCAAACCTAGTTGTCTGTTGATCGTCTAAAACTTACTCGTTACTGTTTTTTTTTTTGGACAGGATCTTGGTAATCTCAAATCAAGTTCTTGTTTATTTTTGAAGGAAAAGCATCTTTTTGCAGAGAAGAACATTTAAATTTGGAAAAGGTACCGCATTCATGGAATCCATGTACAGTTTCTTCCAGGATCGGATCACCGTGCGTATGTGCAGTGTGTGTGGACAGCGGCGGGCGTACGTACTTACCGTCGAACATGGCGGGGAGCTGGAAGAGCATGCCGACCTTCCGGCGGAGCGCGAGGACGTCGATGCCGCAGATGTCGACGCCGTCGAGGAGCACGGCGCCCGGCGCGGGCTCCCAGAGGCGGTTGAGCGCGCGGAGCAGCGTGGACTTGCCGCTGCCGCTGGGGCCGATGACGCCGACGACCACCCCGCGCGGCACGTCCAGGTCGACGCCCCGCAGGATCTCCTCGCCTCTCGCCTCCGACCGCCGCGTCAGCCCCCGCACCCGTATCTTCGGCCCCGCCGCCGCCGCCGCCCCTTCTTCCCCGACGCCGTCCACGTCCAGCAGGTGCTCCCTGACATCATGCTCTTCAAATTCGATCGTTGATCACACGCACATGTCGTCAGCACGTACACTGGAACACGAAGCTGACGCACAAGAGACGACGAGGTGTACTCGCTCACCTGAAGCTGAGCCCATCGGAGAGACAGCGGAGAGGTCGAGAGGAAGACGAAGGTGAGGGGGGATCGAAGTGGGAATCCGGGCAATGCGCATCGTCTTTTTTATTGGCTTTTTGCCAACTTTTCCCGGCTCCAACTGAGGTGGGCGGCTTTTGGAGCACGCGTGAACGGTGCCATTCGGTGGCGGCCGCTGGTTGCAAGCAAGGGCAGCGAAGCTTGGACTCGTGTCGTGGTGAAGGGAAAGTCCCAGACGACGCATGGCTTATCGCCGTGGTCGGTTTGGACCCTTGTCGATCTACACAGTGATCACCAACAATAGATGCAATACACTGATACAGTATCAAGTACTCGCAGCAATGTTGCTGACAGTTGCCGTGGATCTGTGTGGGAAATACAAGATTCGGTTGCTAGCTCTTACCCCAGAAAACACCAGGACCAGATAAGCACATCGGCAACTTGGTGTTGGTGATGAAAAGTTTGGAGAGGTTATATCGCGAGCGGTGTCCGTGGTTATCACCGGTACGACGGAAACGTACGCAGGATTTTCCGCGTGGACCGTGTGCGCGGTCATGGATAGCTACGCCACCAGGCGACGCCCGCACCGAGACGCACATGCAGGTTCCTCTCGTCGTGACACCAAGCGTGTGGGACGTCCGCTATCTCCATATGGGCTTCTGTCAATTCGTGTCCCATGTAAGGCCCGCAAAGAGAACTCCAATTGAACGTTTCTATGGGCTGTACCGGACGGGGCCTTCTGTCCATTCCTTCTCTTTCACATATCTTGACAGATCAGGCCTTCAGGCCCAGTTCTATCCCTTCTCCATGGCCCAAAAGCTAACTGCTAATCTGATGCCCTTGCTGGTCCCCTGTCATTAGCTTTGGCTCCACATACCACAGCACACATGCGCAACCCTAGAAACTGGCAGCTTTGTGTTCCGGAAAAATACAAATGGTTTACGCTGGATTGATTATCCAAGTCACTATCTCTAACTAGGAAAAAGGAAGCGGGATTATCATTATCCAGATGCTATCTTGTCAGCATCACACCGCTATCCAACATGGCACCATTATTGAACGGAATCAGTTGTTAGTAGGTTGAGTCACGATTGGATGGTCAATGCCGTAATTGCTATAGCTAGCTAGTCCTACTCCAGCTCGCTAGTTGAGCTGGCGTCTTTCTTGGCACTGCAGTTTGATGCAATGTTGCACGATGGCTCAACAGTGAAACTAATCAGCAGCCACTAGTATAGTTCTCTCCCATCTCATCAATCATTGAACCGTGCAAACAGTTTCACAGCACAACGTTACATATAGAAACAGACGGCTTGCATGCATGATTTCAGTCCATAGCTAGCTTAGTTATAGCTACTACGAGTAGTAGTACTACTATTGCTACCATCCGGTCCTCCTAGCAAGCTTGATCGGCTGAGAACATCGTCGTCGGTGGTCCTCCAAGTCTCTATCAGAGAAACCCTTACAACTATCACATCGCCAGATTGACGACGGGAGACGTGCATGTTCACCATCGGGTAGTAGTAGCAGCCGATCGTTGAAAGGAACAGTGCACGTGATGTGATGGTCTCTAGCTGAACTCTGAAGATTAGGCAGATATACTGTAGTACATAGGGTGTCAGGGAATGCTTTGCCCGTTTTAAATTCAGATGAAAACGGCAAATGTCAGTAACAACCAATAGTAAGTTGTTTAACCACAAAGGATTATGAGGAGGAGTGTCCTTGACAGTGGCAACGGGTAGTACGCTGCTTTCATCCGAGGCAGGGTGAATAAAAAAGCGAGAGAGAACTCAAGTGCAGAGAAGAACACGATGTACAATCATCCAGTCGGAGAGCCATTGATTGTTCGTCACGAGAAACATGTCGGCTGTACAACAACCTCTGAGGCAGTGAACGCAGCGTTCCCTGTCTACCACCCCAGAAAAAAAAGAGAGAGATACTAGTACTTGAATGCTTCTGCTTCGTGCACACCATACAAAAAGTGCATCCTCTGGCACCGGATACCGTATCGATCCAGTGATCATCACTGGATGTCACGAGGAGACGAACTGTGCCGAATCATGATCAATGTTTTTTTCGTACGTTACCAACACACTTCATCAATTTTTCAGATGGAGAACACGAGTAGCAGTAGTACGTGCAAAATTCTGGTTCACTTCCATGTGCTCACGGGCCGTGATCACAGGGCGCGGTGCTGATGCGAATCAGATCGCTGCTGCCGTGTTTTGCTCGCGCTCGCATACGAGGTACAGCGGCCATCGCCCGCCTAGTAGTGACAAAAAGAGAAGGCGACTGCCACGCCCATACACCTCCGTTGCAGACGCACCGCTGTGCCGCTGTGTGCTCGCCTGCCCGAGAAACGTACTTAAAAAAACGGCACGAAAAACCAGCCGAGTACGATGGAATCAGGGAGCATTCAGCCATGTCAGGAAACCGATTTCGTCACGGCCAAATAAACGGGATGGATGAAAAAACACTCGAGTAAACACACGAAGCGAAATGAACACGGGTTTACCTACGGCACCAATGATAATGTTGGTAGAAACTTTCTTTTTACAGTGGAGTGAGCTCGAGTGATGAGAGAGCAAACAAGAAGAAATGGACGCGTGGTAACCTAGCCGTTGAGGCGTGGGAGTAGTGGTAGGTTGGGGAGAAGCATACGGGCCAGGAGAGCACGAGGCCACGACGGTGTTGCTTTCAATGCCGCAACATGACGGGCAAGTACGAGGCAAGTGTGCGGCCGCCGATTGCTCCTCCCACATGTGCCACTGATAGTACTACTGCCACTACGCTAGAATGCAAAACGGAACCGAGTCTAGCAACACGACGCAACAAAAAAACCAAGAGGATAGTAGATGAGAAATGCGAGATGGGCTTTAGCTGCTTTACTAACTGAGCCATTGCCCGGGAGATGCTTTGCAACAGGTTACACCAAAAAGTTGCAGCGCTTTTCCTCTTACACAGACAAGAATTTTACACGCATACGACCAGCTTTTTTTTTCTTTTTCTCTCTTGTGTAGCATGGGCTGGTTGCCTGGTTCCCTCGTCCCCCGACCCGGCCGACGCGACGCGCCAAAAGCCCTTGTCAGCGCACGGCGCCGCAGAAGATCCACGGCGCATTGGGCTACGACGCCTTCGCCGGCGCCATATGCGGGCCGTAGCCGATCGATCCAGGCCGCCCGAATTCAGGAAGAAACCAGCACCTTTGCCTCGAGATCCCCGCGGAAAGCAACATACCATCACCACCACCATCTTATCTCTCTCTAGCGGCGCGGCTCCCGAGGCGGGCATGGCATGGACTCATCTTGCAGTCTTGTGCCCCAGCTGCGTGTAATTACCATGGTGCCCATCACGTGAGCCACGGGTTCGGGCATAGGGTGCCGTGGTTTACGTGGAAGTGGCGGGGGCAGTATGGGGAGAGAAAAAATTGGGAGCCTTTTTCCGGGCTGCGAAGTGGGCCCCGCGGAACAGCGGCCTAGGTGCTAGGGCCGTTAAGGGCGGGCGGGCCCCGGGCCCACCAGCTCGAGCCCGGCCACCGACGCGCGCCGGCTCGTGGCTCGCCGCTGGCGCGGATGGGAGGGAGCCGGCTCACGCCGGCGAGCTCCGATAGGCTCCTCGCGCTGATTACGCTCCTGCCGTTGCCGGAGTGGACGGCGGCGGAGCAGGAGTACCGGCCGGCCTCCGTCACCAGCATCTCCGACCGGACGAACATCAGATCGGATGGTCGCACCTCGCTCCACCGCTGCTTCGCCGCCGGTGCCGTCTCGTCCTCGCAGCCACCGGCGGTGCTCACCAGGATGCGGTGCCCGAACCGCCGGTCGTAGGCTTCCGGGTCAGGCTCCGCCACCGCGGCCGCCGGCTCCATCAACAGCACCCTGTCCTTGCGAACCTTGGCGGCCTCGAAGCATCCCACCACCGCACCGCCGTCGCCTCCGACGAGATCGGCCGACCGGCGTGAGGCAGGGCCAACCCTCCCTGGCGCCCGTACCGACCCCGTCGAGTGCCGGCCGGAGAAGAAGCCTCTAAACGCTGGAGACGGAGCAGGAGCAGCAGGAGCTAAGCTCGCCTCCTTGTCCTTGGCCGTAGCAGCCGCCGCCGCCGCCGCCACCTTCGTCTCCGGCGGATCAGGGGGCCCCGTGGTGGACGGCTTTGGCGGCTCCGGGAGGAGCAGGACGTCCTCGGGGTCGACGCGGGAGCGGCACAGCGGGCACGTCGAGTGCGCGTCCAGCCACGTATCCACGCACTCGACGTGGAACCCATGGCGGCATTTCGGCAGCAGCCGGAGCGCCTCCGTCGGCTCGAACCGGCCGAGGCACACCGCGCACTCGAGCCCAGCCTTCTGCCCACGGAGCGCGCCGAACCGGAACACCGGCAGCGACTCCACCACGGCGCGGTCGACGCCGGAGTTCCGCCGCTCGCCCGCCCCGCCCCCACCGGACGACCCGAACGCGCCGCCGCTCCCGTACGGGCCCGACGACTCCGCGGCGTTCCGCTTGCAGTGCTTCGCGTACAGCAGCAGCAGGAACGTGATGGAGAACACGCTCGTCAGGATGCCCACGACCACCGCGACGCCCGGCCTGAACGGCGTGGCCGACGACGGCGGCGGCGACGGCAGCGGCGACACGATCGCGCCGTCGTAGTCGGACAGCAGCAGCCGCCGCGACGGCTCCATCGGCGGCAAGCTTAGCAGCGACAAGACGAGGGATTTTAGATGTACTCCACCTCCACTACACGAGACAACCACGAGTGTGATTTGTAACCAAGCGGTAGGGGGTAATAATAGCGGTGGAGACTAGCGCTCTGCGGTGGTGACCGGATCTTCCGGGCGGTGGGGCCCAGTGGCAGTGGCAGCGGGAGAAGGGTGGGGCCACTCGCCGCTGCGCTGCTCCGCCGGTGAGGATAACCAGTTCGACGCCGTGCGGGTTGTCGCGGAGTGGCAGTACACTACGGGTGGCACTGAGCCACTGACAGTTTAGTTGTGGGGATGTGGGCCCATGTGTCAGTAGATGAATGGAGTATTTTTTTTCCCTTTTTTCCCGAAAGAAAAGGGCAAAGGGAGCAGCATGGGCTGGGGAGCAGAGACCCCTGTTTCGAGCTAGTAATGCGCATTTAAGAACGTTAGGACGCGAGATTACTGTTTTGTCCGTCATTAAATAGCCTACTAATGCTGACAGCTCAAGGGCAATATCGGGAATTTTTCAAATAAAAATAAAATTCGTGCGCGCGTTGCGAGGGAATGAATGCTCGTGGGAGGAGGAGGAAAAAAAAAAGGATGAGCGCACAGACGCACACGCGAGGTGATTACCAGTTCAGTCGCTGACATGGCTGTCATGACACGGCGTGGGTCCCACATGGCAGTGAGGAATTACTGTTCCGGATGGGGTAGGTGGCACGTCGATGCTTTGCGAGGCAGCACGGAAAGAGGTGGGGGCTCTGGACTGGATCATCCAAGTTCGGGACACGTGAGGCTCTGGCTAGTGATCTCAGCGAAATTTGAATGTTTGCTCCTGAAAATTTTTAATTTTCCGGAGGTTGCCCGTGCGGCATTCAGGCTCATCAGCAGGCAGCAGGACCAGTACTTCATTCGCGAGTTATTTCTGTGGAATTTTATGGCGTAAATTAATCCAAGTTCATTATCTACGTAAGTACAGTACACTGCTCCAGATCGAGTTCGATTAATACTACAGCATCCACCATATACTTGCCCGCCCCATTCATAATTTCAGAATCTGAAACTCCGAAACGCACATCAGCGAATTGCTCACTGTGAAATGCTTTTACTGTTACCGCGTAGTACAGCTTCCATGGCCATTCGTACTGTACAGGTGAACCTGCGTTAAAACTGAGAGAGGAAATAAGAAGAACAGTACGAATTTATATGCTACTGCTCGGGACATCGCCCACGTTGCATCTCCGTGGATCTGGACGCGGCGGCACTGTGCAAGTACACTCCAATGATAGCTGCGCCATGGCAACTTGCTCCCGGTGAAGCCATCGACGCATCACCATGGCCCATAGAGGCTGCAAACCTGTCGACCTGCCATGCCAAGCCAACCGATACGACGACGTTCGTATACATGTACGCCCCTTGAAACTTCTACGCACGCCCGCATGTACGTACGCTCGCCCCTCGAATCCCCCTGTACAATTCACCGGTGTCGCCGTGCGCCTGCGTCCTAGTAGCAATGTTGAGCAATAGTTGGCGTCGCTGCAGCGCAACAATTTTGCTGGCGATTTTCGGCCCATCTCCCGCGCGGCGCCGGGGATTTTTACGCTTTTTTCAGCCGGTCCCCCGCGGCAACGCGCGACAGGCCGTGCGCTGCAGGCGACATAAGGCTGTTTGAGCCGCCTGCGCGAGCTTCTATTCACGACTGCACCGTGCGTCGTCGATCTGCACGAGCGCGCGGGAGGAGGAGATCCAGCCCGCGCGCAGCAGCAGCTAAACAGGGCGAGGAATAGCGTCAATGCGTCATCTGACGCGCCCTCAAATCTGGACCTGATCTCTGCAGTGGATTGCGCAGGTGTTCATGGCGTCACAGTGGTGGATCGAGCGAGCGGCTTGTCGTCTACGTCTACTCCCTCCGTCTCATAAAATCAACCTAACACCACCAAATATAACACAACATAATACTATAAATTTAGATTTATATTCATCGTACTAGAATATGTCATATATCCGATCCTACTCCGTACATGGGAGTACGATGGCATGCACGAGCCGATTGATCGTCGTAAGCGCACGCACGCGTGACGACTGACGCGTGCATGGGAGGAATATGACATGACACGATCAAAACGAGGATTGATTTATCGTGTTACTCCCTCTGTCCCAAAAAAAGTCAAACCCTAGATTTCCGTGCCAACGTTTTACTGTCCGTCTTATATAATTTTTTTTATAATTAGTATTTTTATTATTGTTAGATAATAAAAAATGATTAATACTTTATGCGTGACTTATCTTTTTAATTTTTTTTATATTTTTTTTAAATAAGACAGACGGTCAAACGTTGGACACGGAAATCAGGGTTTGTTTTTTTTTGGGACGGAGGGAGTACACTGTTAGCTCTGGCAGCCAGTTGGGGCGCCTGAATGACGGTACTGTTAAGAATGGAAGGTATCACATCAATGGAGCTGACAAGAGCTAGCGTGCCATTCATCTGCCGACGCTGTTCTTGTACCCAAAACGGCACTGTTTAATTCAGCCTTTTCGTCGGCTTGCTCCGATTCAGTAGCTCATACAATAATGTAGGGATTTCCGGTGTATTGGGAAACATCCTTCAATAGTTCAATTTCACTGTTTTAATCCATTTTCTAAAAAAAAAGGGTTCAATTTCACAGCATGACGTCTTCTATATCGAAAATGTTGTTCCGTATACTCTCTGTGAGTCTGTGTGCAAGGTACGGGCAAAAGCCGCATGTCTATGCTCCTTATAAGCTTATTGTGTTATTTTTCCGGCCCAAAGCATCGAGCCCAAAATAGATAACAGGGCCATATTCTGGGTATTCTGCCGGCCCACATGAATTCTTCTTATTGAAACCAAAAGGAATAAGTTCACTTTAGGTCCCTTAATTTGTCGCCCAGTTCGATTTTCGTCCTCAGTCCACAAAACCGGATACAACGCATCCCCCAACTTACCAAAACCGTGCAGACGAGATCCCTCGGCAGTATTGTGCCCGGTTTTGGATGACGTGGCGCCTACGTAGCTGGTTTGACTAAGTCTCCGTCCTACGTGGCATTGGCGTGGCGCTTACGTGGCAATTGATCCCAAAAATAATAGAAAACTGTAGGACCCACGTGTCAATTACACATAAAATAATAAAAAAGGTGGGGCCATGTTGCGGCGGTCGCCTCCAGTAGCTGGCTGGGCGCGAAGCGAGTTGCGGCGGCGTTCCCACCGCAGCTCCTCGGCCTTCCGCGGCTGCTGCGGCGTCGGCGACAAGGAGGAGGAGGCAACCCGTCAGTTAGTAGCACACCCCGAGAGTTCAATCTAAGCGGCCGTGGCATGGAGAAGGGCACATTGATGCAGCACACATTACCTTGGAGTGGCGATAGGGCACGCCGGAGGAGGAAGCGGGGCCGGAGGTGGAGGAGGAGGAGACGTGGAGCGCGACGACGAGCAGCGTTGCATCGGCGGTGATGGTGGCGCCTATCGCGGCGAGCGAGAGCAGCCACCACCGCACCGCCGCCCACCGCCCCGCTGCAGCGGCGCCCCTCACCTTTCGCCGCAGTGGCAATGGCGTCGCATCCGCCCTGTCATGGCTACCACACGGGAGGTAGGAAGGTCGATCCAGGCACGGGGGTCGCTCCGTGTCTCACCGATGGGGATCGATCCTCGCCGGCCTCGTCGTCACGGCTGTCTACGCCATCTCCACCGTGTGATCTCGCTCCGGCTTGACGATGACGACCCCGGCAAGCCTATCACTGTCACGCGGTGCCGCACAGTAGTAGGAGGACGATGCCCACGACCAGCTTCGTCTCCAAGTCTGAATTTTTCTCCTTTCCTTTTCTTCAACTGAAGAAACTGTTGATGTTTGATTAATCTGCAGCTTGAATGGAGAATGCATGCGTGCATAGGCCGGGTATTTGTAGCCATTGATTCGGGCAATTTCGCTTGGAAGCAAAGGCTCCGAAAGTGAGAACATTGAGTGTTTGACGAATCATGCGAGGAGGAATGGGAAGATGCGGTGCATGAAAACCCCCTTCTTCGCCAACGGCGCCTTTGGCGGTGACGCGGGGTCGGGCTTTCAGGCGGCGGCCATCGCGGCGGGTGCGGACGGGAAGGTCGCGGTCGACGGGCGGCGGCGAGGCGACTGCTTCTGCGAGCCTAAAATCTCCCCCCCAACCACGCCGCTGGTCTCCTCCAAGAAGATGTCCGCACCCGCCGCCGCGCCGACCACCCCCGCCACCCCGGCCCCCGCCGCGGCGCTGTTAACGACCAAATTTGGTAAATTCTATCACTATTGGCATCGGAGATGAAGATCAGATCGAAGTGGAATCCAAGATGAAGATCGTTGCGGAGACAGAGTAAAAATCGGCTGCAGTCTAAATCGGCTAAGGTCGGGATCGACAGAGTTCGAGTTGGACGGGGCTAGCCGATACAGCCGATTCCGATAATATGACCCGGTGAACGTCATCGGGTTCAAGTTGATGTGCTTCAAGGTGATTGCCATGCTTGGATAGAGTCCTGGGAAGGCAATTATATTTATTAATTAGGATATTCTATGTAATTTCCTTAGAGATATGTTTGGGCAAAAGTCTGCCGTAAAGACTTATGATATCTTAGAGTTTGTTACAGATAATAGTCGTGTCCGTTATGGACGTATCTTGTAATTCTCGGGTATAAATAGACCCGAGCCCTATGTAAAAAAGAGACAACACATCCAATACAATCTCGGCGCATCGCCACCCTTTTTTGCTTTACTTTTATTTCGACGAGTTTGTGCTCTCGGGTTGAGCTGCATCGGTTTCGATCTTCAACAAGAGGTAAAACTTGTCGTGACGACTTATGTTCTCAGGATTAGTGCTTCCATCTTTATGACACTCTAATCTTGTCTATATAATTCATCGAGTTATCATATATCTCACATAGTCTTCGATAATATCTTTATCTAACCTATAATCGGCTAACATTTGCTAATGGAAGGCAGCCGATTAGGTTAGACAATGACGTTAACTTAGATTATGTGATATATCTACCACTCTATGAAACTTCCAGCGGCTTGATTGTCTAGATATTGTTCTTCTTTTCATACTTAATGCTGCATCAGTTGAGTTTGATCTATTAAGTCGTGCTTAGAATTGCAATCTTTAGCCTGCTTTCTGGTTGCCGATAAGGGTAGTATCGGAGTTTCAACCGATCTTACCTGATTTAACTACTTTTATTCTATATGCTTGATTGACACGTTAAATCTGCCCTTTATGTTAAGATTTTATTGCATCTAAGTATATTAAGCTTATGTTTGGTATATTCTACTTGCTTTAATATCTTAGTATAGAGTGGTATCGGAGTATTAGCCGATACATGCTAGATCTACCTGATCAGCTATGTTATGAATGTATATAATCCT